AGATGTATATAAGAGACAGATATAGAGGCATCGTAATGATGGGTGCACGTATAACCCGAATGTTATAAACAATATAAAGTTAATCAAAGATTATGAATATTTTTATTATGATTATTATTTTTATTATTATTGCTATTATTATTATTATGATCATCATAATACACAACATTGTGAAAGTCCGATTGTACGCCCTGTCCTGTTTTATTAAAAATAATTATCAATTGGCTTTATATTAATAGCAATAATAATCATATTTTGTTATTTCATCACCTGTCTCATTAATAATATTATTAGGCCTGTTATTATTATAAAGAAGAAAATCTACATACATTAAAAATAAACATAATTTATGTATATTTTTTTATCTTTCCCTTATATAAAATATACGTAGATTAAAAGTGCACATAGATTAAATTAAAATGTTAAATATGTTAAAATGAATAGTTAGCATTAGTATGCTGTATTTAAAAAAAACATTTAAAAATTATGTTTTATAGGCCTATTACATACACACATAATAATGACATTATATGATGAATATACCACGTTTTCAACCATAGTTTTTAAGTGGCGATGGGCTTTAAATTTACATAGGACTACATAATTATTATACAGTCCTGTAAAAATAATCATACTCTAGGCCTAGACCAAATTTATGTAAATTTGCTCAGTACTATGCACTACACGTACCATACAATGGTAATCAGATTAAACGCAATACAACAAGCACTCAATGACATAATTCTTGTTTCCTGCCGTCGTTGCTTTTTGATAAACACCGATTTACAGCCACAAGCGAGAGTGATAGAGAACGAGCTATAAAAAAGCAATTTCAGTTGCATACAAAGAAGAATAATGTCACAACAACTACATAGCATGTCATGGTTTTCCAGTATTCTATTGCCACTGGTGTATCTGTTGTGTAGTTATTCGAGTTATGCTTGTTTGTGGAACCAGCGGTGGAACGAAACTCCGCACGCCAATAACATTGATTGTATCAAACTCTATGTGAGTACTAACAAGGCTATTAACGTGGTCAATGGTCGATTTTTATCAGTTGCAATTGACTCGGGCGAAATCGAGACACACTGGAATTATGGAAAACTTAACTTCAGGTAGGGCAGCTTACATACCAACCACATACTCATTAAAGCGTTACGTGTATGTGTGGTGTGGTGTGGGGTAGGGAAGTGTATCGATGATACTACACAAACGGTTTCGTGTCTTGTTTGGTGCTACTCTATTGTATAAAATTAGACATCAAATTGTTATTTGACAGTACTCTGTTTAGCTCAATGAGGAACAGCATCGTTTGGGAAACAGACCTCAAAGAGAGGTCACTTTTCGGAAACCATGTTGGTTTTTTTATTGGCTTTTAAATTCACCATGAAATCTGATGTTACCTTAATACGATCATGTTCGTACCATACTTTTGAAGGTCTATTAGATATTTAAGTCTCCAGGTTGTAAAGTTGTATGTTGTAATGGCGAGATAGATTATCTTGACAAGTCGACATAGTAAAAATGTTATGTTGTCATGACGAGATAGATTATCTTGACTAGTCGACATAATAAAAGTTGTATGTTGTCATGGCGGGATAGATTATCTTGACAAGTCGACATAATAAAAATTGTATGTTGTCAACTCGACTTGTCAAGATAACCTATCTCGCCATGACAACATACAATGTTTATTATGTCGACTTTTCAAGATAATCTATCTCGCCATGACAACATAACATTTTTACTATGTCGACTTGTCAAGATAATCCATCTCGCCATGACAACATACAATATGTATTATGTCGACTTGTCAAGATAATCTATCTCGCCATGACAACATACAATTTTTGCTATGTCGACATGTCAAGATAATCTATCTCGCCATGACAACATACAATTTTTACTATGTCGACTTGTCAAGAGAATCTATCTCACCATGACAACATACAATTTTTATTATGTCGACTTGTCAAGATAACCTATCTCGCCTTGACAACATAACATTTTCAATATGTCGTCTTGGCAAGATAGTTCATCTTGACATGTCGACATGATATGTATATTATGTCGACTTGACAACATAAATTATCTTGACAAGTCGTCAAGTCGAATGGCACTTAGGTGCTTCCGTATATGTGCATTGTTATAACGCCGTGGTTAATCGTGCTTTAAAGACTAGTTGTTGATATTGATAGATTGAATGCAACACACTTAATCTATACTTCCTTCCGTTGAACACCGATTTAGAGATATTAACGAGAGATTGAGAAAGTGACAGAGTGAGTAATAAACTATAATTAAAATGACTACAAAAGAAGGAATATGTCAACAACTCGTTAACAACAGTTTCCTATTTTTGGTGATGTTGAGCAGTTTTCCGATCTTTGCTTGTTTGTGGGAAAGGACTATGTCAGGCGGTGGTACCGATCATATCAAAGTCTATGTGAGTACTGACCAAGCCATTAACGTGGTCAGTGATCGGTTTATATCAGTCGCCATCAGCTCTGGCGAAATCAAGAAACACTGGAATAATGGAAAACTTAATGTTAGGTAGGTTTGTTATGCGGACAGTAAATGATGTACCTAATGGTGGGGGATTAGATAGCGCACTATAGTCTCCACATAGGCATATATTATGTCATAAAACTTGATCACTCAATTTTTGCCTGCATGATGACATTTTCTTCAATGATTATAGGCCCAAAGAAGAGTCGCTTTTACGAGTCTCAGTTCATGCTTATCAAACCATTAAAAACACATCGTCAGGTCATACGTTCATGTTATAATTTAAACCCTAGTACTTTTAAGGAAATATCAATTAAGTTCTTTCAGTTTCTTGCAATTGACCCATGGACTTAGCACTTAGACGTCTTAATGGGCCTATCAAACAGGAGACATTGTGCTTCTAAATGTTGTAAACATTTCAATTATGATAAATTTTTTGAATACAAAATATAGTCAGTGTAAATGTTTAGTAGGTCTATTTTACGTATGCCTACTACATGCATGTGAGCTATATGTTAACCATCCACCATTACGCTATAAATCTGTAAATCTATTCCACCAGCTCAACGCAATTACAGACTTTATCTTCGTCTCTGCACCCGATGTACCTACGGCTTGGTGGAACAAATGCTGACTTTCTATTATATAAAGATACGATTTTGGAAAGTCATAAACCCAGAAAGACATTCAAAAACTACACAATGACAGGTAGGTCCATCAACCTCTTTACATCGAAGAAAGAAATACCGAAATATCAAGTGTTTGAAAGTACCTAAAATCAATTAGTTATGAATAGTAAAATCCTGTTTTATTATGTTAATACTATAACTAGGTAGCATACAGCGAAGAGCATCTACTGCCATACATATAATAATGAAATATAATTTTCATTCTTTCATTAAAATCCATTATTTCCACATCCATTATTATTAATAATATATAATTAGGCCTATCATGATGTTTGTTTCTATCTATCATAAAAATTATTATTTTTACTTATTTGTTTATTTTATTTATTTATTTGGTATAAAATACTCAAAATACAACAAAGGTTGAAATACTTTTGAGTTTACAATATGAACATGATGCTGTAAATATATATAAATTCAGGGCCGTTGGAAGCGCACCGGCCGCACCAGCTATGGCACGGACCACTTTTTCTCAATTGCATTACTTTCTGAAATGAATATATAATGATAATTATGAATAATATGAATGTACGCATCGCATAGACTTTTCAATCATGGTACGATGAACCTGAGATAGGGTACAGTATCTAGCCCACTTCCACTAACTTTCAATCTTGTATCTGTTCCTGCATGGGGTTGGAAAAGGAGTAGTTGCTTTGCAGCACATTTTCAAAATTTACAGGTATGAATTTATTCACCAACTTTACCCCTTGAGGGGGCGGGGGGATTAGATTTTTGGGCATCCACAATTTATACTTTTAGACCACAATATTAGGGAATGGCAACCGCAACTTGATTGGATTTAAAAATTAGTTTAGTCTCACGTCGTGGCGTCGGACCAAAGATGGTGGAGGATGTCCAGGTTTGTAAAGGGGTGTGGTGCTCAACAAAATTAGCCATTACAGTGCGATGAAAAGCAACGATAAATAGATTAAATCCAAACATTTTTATTGATATATAGGCCTACATTACTACGAGAACAACCAACTTTTTGTTCAGGGCTTTCTAGCAGTGGCGGCTCTAGGATATATTTTCTGGGGGGGGGGGGGGCTAAGTTGTCCGACAGGGGGACTTGAGCTCGTAGGCTCGAGCTGGGGAAAGGGATGAGAGGGGGTCCCTTCTAAATGAGATTTTCTTTAGTTTCTCCATCACTATCAAACATGCCAACACCTATAGACATCAACACCATTACAGTTCATCATCATCGTCGACGTCATCGCCATCGACATCATCATCGTCATCATTATTTTCATCGTAGTCATTATCACCTTCATCATAACCGTCATTGTTATCATCATTCCCTCATCATAATTATGATCATCATTAATTTACATTTTTTTCTGGACATCAAGGTAAACAAGGTTTAAAGATGTATTGTCTCTTGAAAATGACGAAAAAAATCACAAAAATAATTTTGAAATTAACGAATTAATGAATATATCACATCAAACACGCCACAATGTTATTGTTTTAGCCTCGCCAACACGTGTTCAAACACAAATAATTTCCTCATCACTGGATGGAAAATAATATGCGAGTAGGCCTAATTGTCAATAATGTTTACTGAAACAACAATTAACGATATTGTTGTCTTTTCTTGAATACTTACCTGGATAAACCGACTAATTGCCTATTCTCTCCCAAAAGAGAACACTCCTTGGTATTTTGTGCGAATGGTATAGAAGCTGTTCTGCAATATGTTTTATTAGATTAATTATAGGCCCAAGTCTATCGACGAGGGGTTAAGGTGGAGAGAGAGAAAGATAGATAGCGGAAATGGGAAATAGAAAATAACAGACACAGAGTAATACTTTTAAGAGGAGTACATGCGTATACGAAATTATTTTGTTAGTGAGTTTTTTTATTATTTTTTTTATTTGTGGCTTAATCAGATACCGACTGGGATGATATTAATCAGTTTTGCAGAAAGGTTGGCTCGCAACCAATTTTTGACGTGAACGTGCTGCTGCGCAATGGAAGTGACTGGGATGATTCCAACTTTCGCAAGATTCTCTCCTACAATTCTAAGCAAGGCTACCAAGTTTACTGGGAACTAGGGAACGGTAGGTGATGATATGAAGATGACGGTGATGATAACGGTGATGATAACGGTGACGAAGACGATGAAAACGATTATAATAATATCAATAACATGCCTAATAATATTTGATTGAACAGACACTTGTATGTCGATGCCATACACTGACGATGCGTATATGTAATTTTAATTGTAATTCTCTTTTAATACCATTATTCTTAAATTGCTATTGACTTTTGATTGGTGACTTTGTGATTTGTTTCTGTGATTCTTCTGAATGTAATTTTTTTTAAATAAATAAACCTGAATAAAGTACAGGTCTCCCTCCAATCAAAGAAAACTCTTGGGACCAGGCTTTTAGTGGTTTTTAGCAGCAGCTTTGATCTCTAATTAGACTCTCTCTAATTAAAGACCGTGATCTTTAAATATCTGGTTAATTTTTTTGACGAAAATTAAGAAATGATATTAAATACAAGATTGTTTTATTCCAAATGGGGTTTACAGTTACTATATAATTTTAAGTTCACTTCCCTATTTCTCAGTTTCATTTTAATTATTTTTAAGTTTGTGTCAATTATGTTTTATTTGTATTTATTGTACTGTAATTAAGTGATTCATTATATTGTATTTAAGTTGAACGCACCGCCCTTGAGTGCCGCCGATCTAAAGGCGTATGTTCACAAAGTAAATAAATATATGCTGTTATTGATTCTTAATAAACAATTTCTAGGTAGCCACACACCAAGTCATGCGCTCGTTCTTCCAAATTTAATTACAAAAATATGGAACACTGTAAACACAAAACATTGGCTTTTGATATATTATTTTGATGTCTGTGATGTAAAACAATGCACTAAAAGCACTATATATTTTAAAAGTTTCATTAATTGAATGAAACGTTTTCAGTTTTGTCTGCCAAAACCATGGTCTTTGGTGTGTATAATCCTCATAATTAAAGACCGGCACATCTAGGAGATCTGTTAAAATGAGATCTCTTAACACATTTGAATATATATTTACTGTTTATTGGGACGGATTTCCGGGAGACAATTGATACTGCAGTAGTAAAAATTATAAAAACATGCAAATATCGTAAATTTGCGGGCGATGGTTTAATTTCTTGGAGATTCGTGCTTGCTTGCTGGAGTGCGGGCGGTCCTTCCCGCCGATTTCCAGGACATTCCGCCCCGGGACTCTGCAGGAGACTTAGGACCCCTGGGCACTAAATGTGGTCTCTAGATTTCTCTGTTTAGACGGAAATTAAGAAATATATACATCAAACGTTATAAAATGGATGTACAGTTATTGCGTGCTGTTATTCTTAATAAAACACATGTTTTATTCTAGCTTTCAATATTGAGATATTCCTAAGATCACCAATAACATTATCGTTATTCATGTGTATTTGCTAATACGTTTATGTTTAATTCATATATAACAACATTTATTATAGGACAAAACTGAATTGACATCACTCATTATTTTATAGTGGTCGTTAATTGGAAGGACAAATTTCAGGTGGATCTACCAAAACCATAGTCTCTAAATAAAAGGAGGCTTTAATTGGAGGGTACATCGAATGATAAAAGATAGGCATTCAACTGGGCCGCAAATAATTGGTGTAATTAGGTGGTCTTTAATTGAAGGGGTCTTTAATCGCGGGAAAAAATTATAAACCTCCACTCAGAAATACTGGGTTGGTGTCCGACAGGCATAGTTTTCCGCCATAGTTTAAGACTAACGTAAAGCGCCTATTGGACCTGTGTGCGCTATATATAAAATATTATTATTTGTGTTTTATAACCGTTGTGTAATGTTTTAGTTTTCTTTTTACTATGATCTTGTTAAACAATTTATATCATTAAGTAAAGCACAAATTCTGAGAAAATTTGTTACTTCTTAAAAAATATAAAACTAAGTGCTGTATATAAGTATATTAAGTTGATTTTGTCTGACAAATTATAGGCCTAATGCACTACACATAGTGAACAGTAGTGGACAGTATCTTCTTATATTCAGCAATCTTACAGTCACAGTCTTACATGCAGCAATGGCGTCATTCATCATCATCATCATCTGTGTTCTGCATACTGGCAGGTTCATAGCAGTTAATTTCTCCAACGTTATCTATTATATGATCTACGTTTCCTGATGGTATAGCTTTCATTTCTTTCCTTCTGGTCATCTAACACATTACTCTTTTTTCCCTCGAGGCCACTTTCCTTTCCTTTCTTCAATAATCTACCGTCATTTTGAGCACATATTTTTTTTGTTTTAAAATGTAAGGGCTATGCTCTTTTATTGCGGTTGATTTATTTGTATGATATGCAACGCACAAGATTCACATCTATAATGGGATACACGCGTATTGTAACACTATTTGCGCATGATTATTGTGGAATTAACGCATCCCTTTTTTCTTTGACACCCAGAGCCTAACCATTTTGGGAGTGGAAAAGTGACCAACATGACGATTAGTGGCAAGCAACTTGCTCTGGACTACCGTAATTTACGTAGCCTACTGGATTCGTTTGATTACTATCGTCACAATTTCATCATGGGTCCGTCGGTCACACGTCCAAGAATCAAGACTGCTTCATATATTACACAAACTTCGCTGAAATATTTAACTGAGTAAGGAATGAGTCCAATTTTGTCAGAATCATATGGTACCTACTTTAGAAGAGGTAGTAATGCATATCATGTAGTAGGCCTAGATGCTATTCTAAAGTTCCAACAATATTATTATTGATGTTTTGTTATTATAATTATTATTTAAATTATTTTTAATATCCACATTTTCCATTTCGTTTGCTCGTCGTTCGGCATCTCCTCCTTGGAATTTCTTGTCAGCTGGATGTGCCCTTTTTCTTTCGTTTTACTAATTTTATATTTCGTCACAAACTTTTTCTATTAAATTATTTTAGCTATAACTTTAATTATTTATAAATATGTATTATGTGCTATTTTAGCTTTTATAAACATGGTGGAGGTGATGCTATTAACGTGTCTACATGGCACCAATATTACGTAGATGGTCGAATCGCAACAGAAGATAACTTTACAGATCCCGATATTTTAGATTATTTGAAAACGCAAATAAAGGGTATAAAAGAGATTGTTTACAAATACAAGCCTGGTAGCAGAATATGGCTTGGTGAAACAAGTTCAGCGTATGGTGGTGGTGCAGATGGACTTTCGAATGCATACATTGCTGGCTTTATGTAAGTATTTTGGAAAATATTAAGGGTTATGTATATACTTATTGTCAATATGTAGGCCTATGTATTATATTAGGCCTGTCAATTACAGTTTTAATGAAAACACTTAACAGATTAATAATATGAAATTTAAAATATTGTAAAAAAATGTATCATTTGTTTTGTAATTACCATATACAATGAAAAATATGATATTAGATACAATAGCATATATTGATGAATATGAATTTAGAAAACTCCGAATATCTTGGAGTTAAGAAAATTAAAATCCAATTCGGATTATGTACACACGAACAGGCGTTTTCTATAATTTCATTAGCAAATAAATAAATAAATAAATAAATAAGTTAAGTAACTTGAACTAAAACCCTGTATAATAAATTGAACCAAAAGGAAGTAAGTTGATAAAAAAAAAAACGACCCTCACATCTTAGAAATAAATAAAGGATTTAATTGTAGACATGCTTCGGATTGACTTCAACAACCCATCAACAACAGAAGAGCGTGGAGAGTGAGAAAACAAAATGAGAAAACAAGAACCAAACGATTTTTTAAATTGGTTTATGAATATAATTATTGGACTTTCTACGTGATTTGTTGAGGTACATTTAGTGGCAGTAAGGCTGATATCTTCAATGACATATGTGGTTATTTTCTTTTAAAAAAATCAATTAAATTATTTAAGTTACTTCAACTGAAATCCTCGATAATCGAGCCAAAAAGAAGTACACATCTTATAAATAAAAGGAATGATTTCATATTTCGGATTGACTTCATCAACCCATCAACAGTACAGACAAGCATGGAGGTTATACCTTCATAATATATGTCTCTGTTTAAATTCTTCATAACAAATCTCAATTGATTAATTGCTCATTTGAGAGAGTGAGTAGGTAAATCAAAACAATTTCAGTTTCACTCATTACAGACTTTTCAGTACCAAGAAAATTATGCAAATGACTACCATACAGATTAAAATGAAACTCTTGATAATTGAACCAAAATTATGTAAGTTAATAAAAAAAATTAAAAAACAACCCATCTTAGAAATAAAACGTAGGATTTATTTGTAGACATGTTTCGGATTGAATTTAATTACCCATTAACAGTACAAAACAGAGAATAAGAAAGTAAGAACCAAACCGCCATTTTGATTGGTTGTATACAATTACTAGAGGTAAATTTAGTCACAGAAAGGCAACTTTTAATGACACACAAATGGGAACGATTTCAGTTTCACTAATTACAGACTTTTCAGTACAAAAAAAATTATGCAATTGACTAACATAAATAAATGGTCTTTAAAAACAACAATAACTGTATATGCACCTGTAAGGAGTTTTTTTTTTTTCTAGTTTTCAAGTAAAACTAAAAAAAGCAGTTGTTATTGTTCAGTTGTTATTGTTCAGGATTTTTAACTCAACATTGAGACTTACTGCCACCGAAATCTAATATAACTTTGAAAGAAAATATTAAAAAATGAGACATACCTATAAGTTGAAGTTTGATTGTAATTCGATCTCATAAAAGGAAGAAACTAAAGGAATGACATAAAGAATCTATAAATAATTGGAAACTGTTTTTTTTTTAATTAAAAGTTGACTTATACATTAGCGTATCGGATTCTTTATAATTACAAATTCCAACAATTATGTTTCCCTCCTTATTTTCGGCGAATGCGGTATATATCTAAATCAAGGTGCTACTATGCATTTATTTTTTTTATAAATACCTATACATTTATAATAGGCATATCTTCAGATTTCCCTGGTTTTTTATTGATAATATTCCATAATTTCAGATATTTCATTAAAATAATTTCTAATTTTCATAGGTGGCTTGATAAACTTGGCGTAGCTGCTTTAAATGGCATTGACGTAGTTATTCGACAAACCCTATATGGTGGGAATTATGCACTTTTGGATAAGAATTTGAAACCTCTGCCGGTAAGTTGAGTTCACATATTTTGATTTGTTTTATATAGTGCTTTTACGGAGACAGTCAACTGAGTTTGTCCCCGTTCGTCTCAGTTAAACAATGACATTAAATGAGCTATCGATTGCGAGACGATGGAAAAAGGATCCTGTAACTAATGTGACGCTATCACAACCAGATCAAAAATTAATCTTATTTTTTAGCTTTACATAATTATAAAAAAGTTAGCATTTTTTGTCTATTTTGTCTTTCAGGATTGGTGGTTGTCGTTGCTTTATAAGCGCCTGGTTGGGCAGAGGGTTTTGAAAGTTACAACGTCTGCACGTGGAAGTGATTTAAGTCTGAGGCTGATACGGTCTTATGCACATTGCACATTGGCCAGGAGGTAAAGTAAAGATTTTGATCAAGGGTATGCTTAGATGAATGAGGAATGTATACTTACTCGGTAAATTTAATGACACACAAATGGGAACAATTTCAGTTTCACTAATTACAGACTTTTCAGTACAAAGAAAATTATGCAATTGACTAACACAAATAAATGGTCTTTACAAACAACAATAACTGTATATGCACCTGTACGGAGTTTTTTTTTCTAGTTTTCAAGTAAAACTAAAAAAAAAGCAGTTGGAATAAGGTCTGTTATTGTTCAGGATTTTTAACTCAACATTGAGACTTACTGCCACCGAAATCTAATATAACTTTGAAAGAAAATATTAAAAAATGAGACATAACCTATAAGTTGAAGTTTGATTGTAATTCTGTCTCATAAAAGGAGGAAACTAAAGGAATGACATAAAGAATCTATAAATAATTGGAAACTGTTTTTCTTTATTAAAAGTTGACTTGATACATTGTATGTATACTTACTCGGTTCATCATTTTATATTATTATACATTCATTATTCAGCCAAAAATACACCATTATACAAAACAATTGAGCAAAATTTAAACAAGAAGACAGTAATACAACCTAAGTTGACTGGAATCAATAATAGTGTTTAACACGTTGGATCTTGCTTATTTTAGCAAATACTCCCAATTTAAGTGAGAATGGAAAGACAATGTTGCTCAGCTGAAGTTCGTAGGCCCAGGTGACAACATTGTAACACTTTAAATTTACGAGAGAGTGTCGTGATTCCTATAACACATTAACATAGTGCTTTATGAGTAGCTTGGTGGTTAAGGTGCTTGCCTCTGATGCCAGAGTAACTGGTTTATATTCTATGACACACGACGTTTTTCTCACAGCTTCACTCCTTACTGAACCTAGTTGTAAATTCTCATCGGTTGAGCTGAAGGTTCGTGAAATAGAATTTACTGTCAGTCAAAAACCTGCCACAGACTCATTTATTTAATTGAAGGTTCTTAAGACTTTGTTTTCAGAGCATACTTCCATCCTGGCAAATCACTCCCGGTAGAGTGAAAATAAAATAATAAAATCACACCATAATTAATTTAATTAATTCCAGATTGCTGAATTCATTTTTATCATTTCAGTGAATACGTAGATGGTGACGTCACGGTGTATATACTGAACCTGGACAAGTATTCAAGCAAGAGTGTATCAATAAACCAATTTAGTGAACTTAAAAGAATCGACCAGTATCTGTTGACCCCACATGGAGAAAGTGGTATGAGATCACAGTAAGTAAAGATGCATTTTACGTAGGCATTTTTTTGTCAGTGGGTAAGTTCAAGAAACATTTTATGATGATACTTTTGCGTAATCTTGCTAACAGACAGACATACAGCTCGACAGACAGGGAATACATAACCTCCTTGACGGAGGTAATTATTGGCTGTTTTGTAATAATCATGAGCTCTTCGACAAATTATTTTAGACGCGCACGTTCAGAATGATGGTACGCCCAATTATGTCTTTACACGAAAGGCTGCTGCCACACGAAGTCAAGAATTGACCAGCTTTTACTTATATCAATAAATAATATACTGTATTACCTTTTCATCAAAAAACTTGAGCCAGTCAACTTGTAACCCACTGGCAAACCCTAGTTTGTGACCATAGATTTTGCCAAAGGCCTAATAATAAATTGTTCACTTTAAAAAAAAAACAACAACAGAGGTTAATTTCTTTTCATAATTGTCACTTTTCAGACATGTCAATTTAAATGGTGTAAAACTTGAAATGGTGGACGAACGAACTTTGCCAAACCTACCTCCAAAGAAATTGGATAGAAAGCAAGATATTCTGTTACCACCACTCTCATTTGGATTCTATGTCATGAAAGGTGCAAATGCGTCGGCGTGTTTGAAGTAATTGAGTGGCAAGGTACCATATCGATTGAACCAAAAGCCTGATATTATGATTATTGCACCACACACGTTATAATTCTATGCAGAGTTACGTAAAATGGGCGACGCACTTTTTCAGCTTGGTAACGCGTTATGTAAGGATTACGAAGGGCAAAAGTTGTAGGCCTATACATGCCTATTTAAAATCATAAGGACCGGTCCCAGGACAGTTATAGCAACTGTCTTCACTCCACTATTAATCCTCTTGTTATTATACCTGGTTTCCATAGAATTGGTACAGGCTATCGCCGACAGATTTTCGCTGCAGCTAAACCTGGGAGCCTTTTCGATTGCGTCTGGCCAGACTTCTGCGAGGCCCGATGCTCCTATGAAGCCATTTTGGTAAAATATTACACCGTTTGTAATGATGTAAATAGAGAAATAAGGAAACAAACGAAAAAGATCCATGACTTTTCTTTAGTGAGCTCAATATATATATTTTTTTTTCAATTTTTAAATTCAAGTAGGAATGTTAGGGATTTTTAATGTCATCTAATTTAAAGCCTGAGTCGTTGCATTTTTGGTACATTCCTAGTCCAATTATTATTTGAAAAGGTCAGGCAAAATCTAGTTTCTACCCAATAGGCCTACATTAAATAATCCACTGTACCATATAACGCTAGACTATAGTGATTCTTGGATGGAGGGTAATTAAATTGTCTTGTATTGCTGTAATATTTATCTCAAGCAATAGGGCGCAATTACGTAACCAATACTACTTGTATGCAAAACAATTCATAAACAACAAGTGTTTGGAAATTTAACTTTGCTTGTTTACAAACTTTCGACGAATTGGAAAACATCAGCGTCACAGACGTACGAATGCATATGCATGAACGATTGCAAAGTTTTCTATTGCTTTACAGCATAGGAACCAAAACAGCATAGGAACCAAAACAGCATAGGAACCAATAATACCACATTTCGGCATTTAATTACAGCAAAGTACCGTACCCAATCACGTAGACTGATAGTGAATACATAATGTGGAAAAAGACACTGGCCTAGATCTACTATGTTCATGGTGATGTCATATCTTGATATTATAACTACACTGACCTAGTTTCAGATTGAGCAATATAATGTATTAACAAGTCCTACTGTGTTGACACCTAACTGTCAGTACATTTGACGCGTTTTGTGTTAATAAATGAATAATTTGCTATTGTGACGTCATTGATACATTATTCAATACTTTCACTCTCTTCACTTGCTTGAATAATAATAATGTAATTTAGTAAGTAAATTTAAGTAGTTAATATGTTGTACAAAAAAGAAAATGAAAACAAATGACAACCGGGTATCATCGATATACCCCACCTCCCCTTCCTCCTCCTCCTTCTTATCATCATCATATCCTTCATCATCATCATTATCCTCGTCATCACCGTCATCATCGTCGTTGCCGTCACCGTTATCGTCAAAATCATTACCATTATCATCCTTTTAGATTTGAATTTTGTGTGCTTCATCTTAACAACAAAATAAAAATATCATTTTAAAAATATATTTAGATATACACTACACTATGATTATCAAAAATATCATTTAATACATTCAGCAAATGTTCACCAAGTTACAAATAACCGGTGAGATATTAAGCCAGCTATTTCTGTGACAAGAATACTGAATCCATTAAGTTATTTAAGCAAATGGTCCTCACAAATAGAAACAACATTAAGCACATTTAACTGGCATCGGATTTTTTGTTATTTCTGACAAACGAAAAAAACGATAATGATAATGATAATTATATTGATAATGAGGATGATGATGATGGCGATGATGTTAATAATAATGGTGATGATAATAATAGGCCTAATAATAAATAACGATCTTGATTATGATGATGATGATGCTGATTATAATGTTATTATGGTGATGATAATTATAATAGACCTAATGTAGGCCTAACTAATAATAATAGGCTCAATTGAATTTAATATTGGCCCACTTTAGTCTTAATAGACTATGTAAAATTAGACTGCACATAAAAATATACTTAGACCTATAAAGTTTGATGATTTATAACTGCTACTGCTAAGGTAATACAAAAGCACTTAATGTGTTCCCCAGCCGACCACCACAAAACCTCGAACGTGACCGTCACAAAACTCGAAAAAGCCGAGCCTGGCTCGGATTTTCCGGCCAAAATAATATGTTTGTACCAAAATGATCCCAAAATAGACTTGATTTCAAGCTTTCCTTAATACATTAATTTTATACCTAAACCATAGATTTTAGCCAAGTGGTTCATTTTACCAACTCTGATGACTGATTATTGGCAATAATCCATACCCATGTCATGTATTAAAATCTGTAAATGATCAGGCTGTTCGCTCCTTAAATCAGCACTGTACATCTATAGTTTTAAAGTTACAAAGCACCAGTACATACTGTTAAAGGTAGGGTAGGATCAATCGTGGAGCTAATAAAATCGACAAGTTCAGGTTGCTGATAAAAGCACAATTTCACACCATGTAAAAACGTCACCGTTATATTGTAAAGTTTAATGGTAATCAAATCATCAATAATTTGCATTGGAACATTTAGTGAAGGTGCTTACTGATATTATATACAACCACGAATTTTTCATCGCTCAGCAATGAATAGTTCACAGTACATTTTTTCCCTCGCATTGATATTTACATGGTTTTTATGAACAAACTGAAGCAAGGTGTACCCGTATACAGCATAGCTCTTCATAACATTTGAATTTCATCACACATTTATGACGTCATATAGTTGCAAGTTGACACTACGTGAAACCAATGTCGTCGTAGAATGCTGAATCCGTACCTGCATGTTTTGACATATTGTCTATAAAGCATTCCTAGTTACAAAAGAAAACACAAATCATAATTTGAATAGACTAATAATAATTACATCTATCCCATTATGGTTAAAACACACAATGTTTAAAATGATGTAAAAAAAAACTCAAAATAATCCTAATCAGGCACATAAAATATGCAATAAATCAGTAAATCAATCAATCAATCAATCAACGACAGTAAACCACTTAATCGACTAACCAATTAAGAGATCAATCAATCAATATATCAATTAATCAACCAAATAGTTGATTGATTGACGTGAGCTGAATATAAATTCATTACATAATTAACTCGACACGACAAAATACAGTAATATCAATCTACTACTGTATCATGTAATCGTTATCTTTCTGGAAAAGATCTAAGCAACAAAGATGTAAGCAAAAGCTTGCGAAGTGAGGATTGCGATTAAAAATCTTACTTTTTCTTGTTCATTGCCGTCTGTTTGCTCAGCCTCAGATACTTCATGACTGGCAGCGGCATCCTCTGATGACGCTGGTGTATAGCTTCTAGCACTTGTTCCCAGAGCTAAATCATCTTCCAGAGATACAATTTGGTTTACATCGCCATCTAACGGCTCCATGTAATCCACAGCATCATCGACCAGCATTATGTCCAATCGACTGTACAGCTCACTGAACTTTGGCCTCTTCGAAGGGTTTGTTGTCCAGCATTCCAGCATCATTTGATACCTGCAAGAGGAAGCGTTGGCAGGATGACAAAGAACTAAAGCACATAGCCATTACTGGGATGTTGGAGTAATAGTAAAGTGACATTGTTGGCAGAATGTCAGTGAAAGAATAATTGCAAAGAGCTGTCAATGGCAGGACGTCATCGAAAGAATCATAAAAACATTCATTGTAAATAACGTATACTTTTACTGGAGAGGTTCGATAAAAAATATGTCTATGTCTGTGTTAATACGCTCATTGTAAATAACATATTCTTTCACTGGAAAGTTTAGTGGTATGTCAGTGTAACAGTAATAGACTTGAACAATAACATTCAATGTTTGCATTGGTCACTTCACATAATTTTGGACACCAAATGAGAAACTAAATTGACTCCCATGTCTGCCAAATTCGAATTGAGCTTAATAAAAGATTCACCCATGTTGAGATCCTTTTTTTTTAAATTTGTATATTTTTTTACCTCCACCCACAAAGTTTTTTGTTTGCAATAACATATTTTTTTCTTCAGATTTACCCATAATATACAATACAAGAAAACACGTAATTACATTACGAGGTTTCTTACAACATACCATTCATTGGAACAGTTGTCTGGCTGTTCCATCCTGTAACCTTCCTTCAATCTCTCCACTACTTCAATCGATTGCATCCCTGGGTATGGCATTCCTCCGAGGGTTGCTATTTCGTACAGAACAATTCCAAAGGACCATCTAAAATGTCAAAAAAGCGGATAGTTATTATATGTGCGTTCAAAAATATATGCATCAATATGAATGAAGCTGGCCTGGAAAACATATATGCTGAAATAACAAGTTGATTTGTATTAAAACAGTGATTATTATATAGTTACTTAGGGCAATGTTGAAAAATAAAGGCGTTATAAACAGCTGGTTTCATTTAAAAATTGGCTGCAGCCAGTTGCGATGTGTCAGCTAAATTTTATTTTAGAAAATAGGTCCCTTCAGCTACTATTTTTCAACAGCGCCCTCGAAACTTGAAAAAATAATTGAGAGATGTTGATACTTCGCTCTCCAATACGAGACCACCCCTGGGACCTGAACATTTTAGGTGGTCTTGGGGTTGAGTCCCTTCCTGTAGGGTTGGCTTGTACTAAAACAGTGGTTCCCGACCCTTATAATAAGGAAAAATAATGAAATCGTGAAAAATTGGTCTAAAAATCTAGCGGATCCTAACATTTCAGATCCCCAATTTTTTCACGGACCCCTTGCGGACCCCTTTGACTTGGCGGACCCCCAATTATTTTTCGCGGGCCTATTAAGAGGTCCGCGGAGGAACAACTGTGTTAAAAGATTGCAGATCATAATTATTTGGTTCTTTGAAAAAGTTGTCTTAAATTAGTGGTGTCTCGAATTGGCGGGTGCACTGTATCTGACTTACACGTCACTCTGTATGGTGCATATTCCTTGTAGATTGGTCTCTAGGCTGACCCATTTTACTGGCCGCTTACGATCCGGCGCAAGGTGCTTGTAGTCACTCTGATAGATATCATCCGCTAAACCAAAATCTGATATTTTAATTGTTAGGCCTTGGCCTACTAGAATATTCCTTGCCGCCAGATCACCATGGTAATAACGTGTACTTGATAGGTAATCCTGTGGGCAAAAAAAATCGTTTATATTGGTGGTCTTCAAACGGCTGGATGCGGGTACGCAAAAGGTCAAAGTTCTACTCTTATCAACTTAAAGTATTTCATAAGCAGTTTCCACACAAACTTTTCATTTTATTTTGGTTTGCTCCCATTTAGCTTTTAAAAGCGAGTTTTCCGCCTTTTGATTGGCTGTTATGTAATGCGCAACGTTATTATTATTAAATTCTAAATCCAAATACATAAATACACCAAATCAAATAGGCCTACCCCGTGAAAGGAAAATGCCAACACATTTCGCTTCCATCAAAGACAATCATAATTACGTTCGAACTTAAGTACTGTATTTATACGTGCCAGCAGGCAGATGAGTGGCAAGTGTAGTGCCATGACAGATCGTCATCACAACCACTTTCGCTATTGTCGACAATACCTACTGTTAGCGATTGATGAATGACTCGAAAATATAATTGACTCTGAAATATTTAGCAAAAAAAAAAATACCCCGCAATGTCATCGATCAGCATGAACTGACAAACAATACAATAAATTTAGATGGTGTCGTAGCAAATAGAGTATCTAGTTAACTTACCATGCCACGAGCGATCTGACGAGCAATCTGTACTTGGTTTTGATAAACTAAGTGAAATATAGGATCTTCCAGGGCAAACTTGGCCTACGGAAAAATATATCTTCGTCAAAAATGCATACGATAGGAGTATTACATAAACATAAAATTCAATTTCATACGAAATCAACTGTTAATTTTTTGTCATCGGTTACAAACCTAATATATGAGAAAATGTCATGAATATATTGGAAATTGGATCATATACATATATATATATATATATATATATATATATATATATGTATATATATATATATATATAAACTTATTAAGAAAAGCCTACACTATTGCCAAAATTGAATAATATGGAATCAAATGTTTAAGGGATTGACGACGAAATTACACAATTAGGAATGCAATTTATTTTCTGAATCTAATAAGATATTTTAGAAAGGTCTAAACCTCTAGAAGAGAAATAATAATCGACAGGTTATTGAGGAAGAAAAAAAGATCTGGTTACAAAGTATTAAATCAATTCTAAACCGTCCTACAAAAATATGACCTCTCGTATGTCAATTAATATTCAAGTAATGAAGAAAAACATCTTCAGTTAGTACGTTTAAGAGCAATATCTGAAGTCCTTTTTCGGAGTGAAACTATCTTTAGAATTTACAGAGCGGGGGATAATCTCTTCCTTATCAAGGAGGCTTAACTAAATGAGGCTTAAACGATATTTACTTAACTATATGTGACAAACTCAATTTTATTACTGATCCTCGTACGATCTGTTATGTCGATGTCATAACATACAACTATTATATTATATATTTCGTTCATTCTCTTTTTCATTTATTGTAAATTGTAAATCAAATATATTAAATTCATAACTACCTTCTATTAGTATGCAGAGGCCTATATTGCATAGATTGCCACTGTATTATATTGTTGTTAAACTTATGTATTTGATTTTTATCAATATGTTTGTTTGATGATCAATGAATAATAAATATGTCCTACATAGTTGATTCTATGTATATCACTAGCGTGACAATTTATATTATTGCTAAGTCATGTGTGGTAGAGCCTATGCATATAAGGTATAACCTATGTTTTTGTATTGAGGCGCACGCCCCTCCAAAAATTACTCGCTCCCCCAGCTGCCGCACTAAAAAAATCATGGTCAAGTAGTTAAAGATCACCTAAAATCGCCTTATTTTGAGAGTTAGCGCCCACTCAACTGATCATCGAGTGATCCCCCACCCCCGCTTCACCTTAGCGCCTCCATCCCCCATCAGCATCCCACTTCATGACTCTTAGATACGCTACTGCTTTCCTGGTACATATTATATTATATTGCACCAGCTGATATTCATGTGCAGTTAACTTCATATAGACAATTAATTAATTCACATTTATAACATGTGACGGTATTAAATATATGTAAACATTCTAAATGTGTGAGACATGGGCTAGTTTCGAGGAGATTGTGCTTGCCTGCCAGGATTACTGATTTCCGGCAAAATCAGTGACTCACTCACAGGAGACATGGGACCCCTGAAAATTTGTACGGGTACGGGTGACAATGATGTGAAAAGCTCCAGTTGCATACGTCACACGTGGTAGTACGTGGCTTATCTACATAGATAGTTGCCCAACGTCTGGTAGTTTACATGTGCTAACTTTTGTTTTGTTCTAGTGTTTGATCCCAGCACAAAATATTGTAAAAACAGGCCTATGCTTACCTCACGGCACTTCAACAGAAAGTGAAACAAATCTCCATAATGCATGAATTCAGTTATAAGATAATAAGGTTCATCAATAGTACAACAACCGAGTATTCCTAGTATATTTGGATGGCTACCGATCTCAATGATTAATCTGATCTCATCAAGAAAGTATTCCTTCATCGAGCGAGATGCATGGCCTGGAAATCGATACATTTTACAATTAGGGTTAATTTTGATAATATTTATATAGTAAGCATAATGAGTGGTGCTAATAACAGTGATATCAGTGACTATCATGGACGATGAAAGCATTATGCCCGTAAGGTTAGTCATGGTGAATGGGTCGGACTAAGATAAGTTAAGATAAACTTTATTGGTCCAGGCGCGGATCCAGCGGGGACATGAGGGCCCGTGCCCCCCCCCCCCACCCCCGTCAGTCAACCCGAAAAATGAAAAAGAGGGTGACAAATTTGAGTTAAAGAGAGGAAAGAGCAAAAAGGGAGTGTACCCATGAATTCAGTGGCCATACAGCAGTGGGCGAAAGGAGAGCTCGATTATTTACCACTTATTTTCACCAACCATGGTGGGGCTGAGTTGGGCGTGGGGGCGTGAACTTAATATTGTGCCCCCCACCCCCATCAGAAAATCTCTGGATCCACCCCTGTTTAACATATAAAAATACATAAACAGAAATGTTCCTTGAATCTGGCATAAACAATTAGAAAATACAACACCAAACCAATCAAAAAAGACACCAAACAAACATCAAATTACATAAAGAAAAGAGATAAAATACTTTTAAAAAAACATTTAGGACTAGGCCTACATGAATTTGGTAACGTAATGACAGGAATTGTAATAATTATGAAAAATATTAATATAATAATAATGATATGAATTGTTATTATTATGAACTAAAAATGTATTAGTGCCACTTTTGTTTCATTTTTTTTTTGTGTTTATGTTGTGCGTCTGTCCTACCACTCCCTCATTATGTGTTATTATTTAGAATAGTAGGCCTATATCTAGCCATTTCATTTCTTTAGATATGCCAATCAGTGAACTTAATCACTATCCTACGTTGCATATCCATTAAACGACAAGGGACTAAATGGACAAGTACACAGGGGTAACTCCCTAATTTCTGGGGAATGTGTACTAGGTTCTTTGAAGTGCACACGAGCGAAATGCGTACACTGGGCCATACGGTTTAAGGTCCTTATCTGAGAATACTTGTTCCACCACCGGAAAATTGGCGAATGAGCCGCTTGAACCACCAGCGCCGATATTATTAGCTGAATGTTGTGGTGCAATAATAATAATAATAATAACAATAATAATAATAATAATAATAATAATAATAATAATAATAATAATAATAATAATAAAATAATAATAATAATAATAATTATTATTATTATAATTATTATAATTATAATTATAATTATAATTATAATTATAATTATAATTATTTATTATTATTATTATTATAATTATTATTATTATTATCATAATAATTATAATAATAATAATAATTATAATTATAATTATAATTATAATTATAATTATAATTATAATTATAATGAAATAATTTCTATAATAAACTTGTTACAATAATTCATGCACCAAAGAAATAATTAAAAATAAAATAAACTCAATAAGAAATACCGTTATAAAATGAAAAATTACAAAAAATTATAAAACAATAGCAATTGTATAATATGTGGATGAGTGGCGCCTATCAATGTTTATTATTTAAGTAACATTATTAAAGCATAAGATGATTATTGTATTAATTTAATGAATGAAAACACATAAGAAAAAGGTCAGTGGTGTTTTGTAAGTACCAATGAATGAAATGAAATAAAGGGGCGTTGTTTCGATAAAGAGGCATAAAAAATACCGTTAATTATAATGTAAATTTTAAAAAAATGTAATGATAGCAACTACACCTTTTAGACTTTTCACAGCTACTGGAATGTAATCATTTCCTCCATCGATTCCGCAAGCATAACCTTTACACACCACACCAAACTGACCACTTCCGAGTTCCTCCTCAATCTTCAACATATCTCGATCGAACTCCTTTTTAGCAAACAGAGGATCAACCTCCCGATATTCAAAGTAATCTAGAGAAAATGAGTATCAAAACGCAGGTTAATAAGTAGATCGTGACCAGTGGTGTATCAGGGTATTTATATTTCAGTGATCGGGGTGATGGGGATCCGAAATGTGCAGTGTGAGGGATACTAGCTGCGAAAATAAGGTGGGATAAGTTGATTTTTAATATACATGAGGTAAATTTTTTGTCTCGAAAATTAACAGCTGAGCGACAGGGTCGGGAGATCGGGGGAGGGGCACTCTTAAATACGCCAATGACCGTGTCATAAAACTTACCTCCAACGCTATTTCCTATAGATAATAGATCGTTACCTTTAGAAAAGTAAATTATTACTTACCCTGTGCAGACTTAATGAAATTGTCGTCTGGTTCGCGCTTAAATTGTGGTATTGCTGCCTTTATTCTCTGTCTCCGAGTGTAGAATCCAAGTAGGATAACTGATGTAGCAAACAATATAGCTCCGATGAGAACAGGTATAACTAACGTATAATATATGTTAATACTTCCCGTTACAGTGCCTGTGTGACCAGAATTGCCACCATCTATTGAATTATAAAACGAAAAAAAAAATTGAGCTATCGTGGACATTAGATTTAAAAAGTAAATACATAATATTTCATGGCATTATTTATTTATTTATCTATTTACTTATTTATTTATTTATTTATTTATTTACTTATTTACTTACATACTTACTTATTTATTTATTTATTTATTTATTCATTTATTTATTCAACAATGTGTCCAACTCGATCAAAACTTAACATTTTGGACCCTGAGCAATAGACATGCGCGTATTCCTGGCCTTGTTCTGATTGGTCAGTTGTTAAATTTGACAGAAACTCTGGAAATATTCATTCATCAAGGCAATAGTAAATGCAATAAGAAAGAAGCTGAAGTTATTATTTTGAATTAACAACAAAAGAAAGATTACAAAGATAAACGATAGAACCAATTTACCTTGAAGAAATACTTAACCCAAAAATTATTTAAACAAAATAGTAAATGTCATTTCTTCAAATATATGGTTTTTTTTTAACGCATAATCATCAACGTGAATACAATATATTACGTTTTACAGGTTAAACTATCTCTCTAACCGATAGCCAACTTTGCAAATATTGATGATGTGATGGTTCTGTTCAAGTAAAAGACCACGGTGAATATTTTCAATCGATATGCAATATTTAGACCTATATTATTGAATATCTATACACTGTATTTACTCTTCTCACCCTTCTCGCGTAAAAAATCCTGCAGTTGAAATTCAAAAGACGATTCCAAGCTTGGTTTCGCATACTGTTCACCAGAGACATCTGCATACACGACTGCCTGTAAAAGAATTGCTCGGTTTATTACGTCTACTATACATGTAATGTAAGTTAGTTCGATATAGCGCTTTATACCGGAGTCTCAAAGCGTTCGGGGTGTGGACTAGCTCGACAACATTCGCTTAGAGCTATGCTACACGATGTATTTAAGTCCTTTATGCGAACACTGTATTTATATAGACAGACTTCCGGCTTTCTTTTGTGGGGGAGTCCATAGATTAATTGGTAATAAATGGAATTAAACATTCATTATAATGAATGGAAAATAAATTTTAACTATGTAGTTTGATTGACTCCATATCTTTTAGTTTTAGTTTTTCGTCTATCGCCATTAAAAAATTAACCCTCCTTTATATCTAAAATGAAAACCATACTTAGCGACTCGACAATAACACATCGTTAACAGGAAAAAAGATATCCAAGGTTAAATCGAGGACACTAAATAGTAGTTTAATTATCACAAAAGCAATTTTTTCACATTAGTGTGATATCAATTAAACTTGTGTCGTGATCCGAAATCCGGCCTTTAATCTGACTATTAAGGGGACTAAAACAAAAACTCCGGATAAATTCGATTGATCATTCAATGTTAAGTATTGTGAAAGATATCACTTACCGTCAGAACATAGGGTGTGTATTTCGTAAAATTTCTGCTCAAATTGAAATATATACGTTGTTTTGTGTCAACATTTACCTTAAAAAGAATGTCAACAAACAACTGTAATTAAAATACTATGAAATGCGCCAAAATAAACAGTAACAATAATTTGGATTAGGCCTCAAACTTTAGAATTCACAAAAAAAAAATGAAAGAGGATCCGGAAGCATTGAATGCACAATAATTGATCTAAAACTGAGAACGATAACATCGTGAACGTTATTAATGTTATGGTTGGTTATGTCAGAAAAAACTTTACAGCAACGCAATAAACAATATTTAGTTGGAATTACGTTATAATTACGTATTTACGGTTCTAAACGTTTTAAACACCAAACTGCATAAAGTTTTTATAACGTTTTCATAAAGTAAGATTTTATAACGGTTTTCATTTTATATAAGTTTACTTTTTTTAACAGCATAATTTTTACAATGTATTGATTATTTTCTTTTTGGTTCAGGCAGTCCTTCACAAGCTCTCTTCCCAAATTTAATATTTATCCATTTCTTTAAAGGATGTACATAAATGAAAAGAGAAATAAATTTTACGTTGGATGAATGAATGAAGGAATGAATGAAGGAAGGAAAGAAGGAATGAATGAAGGAATGAAGAAATGAAGGAATGAATGAATGATTGAATGAATGAAGGAAGAAATGAAGGAACGAACGAACGAACGAACGAACGAACAAACCAACGAACGAAAGAACGAACAAACGAACGAACGAACAAAAGAACGAATGAATGAGTATGGCTGAGTGGGTTGATGACTGTATGGATGGTTGGTTGGCCGTCTGTCTGTCTGTCTGTCTGAGTGACTGTTAGGCTGGATAGCTGGTTGCACAGAAAAGACAAAACATTATTATAACATTCAAGAACTGAACGTTGCAGTCAGATAATAGGCAGTTTTCGCCGCACGACGGTAACCTTAACGTTAATGGATGACGTCATAATTTATTCATCTTGCGTTGCGGTGTACGTTAATTTGAGGATTTTACGTGCTCGACGTACATTATTTACGGGTTTGCGCATGCGTATTTCGATTTGTCGAGCACGTAAAATCCTGAAATTAACGTACTCAGCAACGCCAGATGAATAAATTATGACGTCATCCGTTAACGTTAAGGTTAACGTCGTGCAGCGAAAACTCCCTATTAACGACGCACCAACTTCAATATATATAAAGGATGCTTAAGGATAGATATTTGATGGTCATTGTCTCACCCTATCAAAGTCATTTGTGGTTTCGTCGAATGTCGATATAATAGTCAAACTATAACAACACATAATTGCATCACTGTTGACGCTTGCTGGGGGAAACATCGACATCCACATTTCGTAACGATAATTCGTCGTCGATGACCTCGTGATGTTCTCAACACGGACATCAACCGGCGCACTGACATACTGTGCATCTGAACAGTAAATAATCGATAGTCATATTTTTTTATCAGTAAAGAAAGCTTGAATCACATTGCAAGTTTTAATCTTATATTAATATCTACTGTATCAGTAGTTAATGTGCACTTTTGAGTAATGCCATTTTCATAGCATTGACATTGCATTCTGCCGTGGATATTGGTGGTATACAAGACCTTGTTGATTGGTTGAAACGCAAATCAAATTTTTGCAATTCAATCATGACGTCATCATCATCTTCATTTCCCCTAATTTTCCTCAGCTATGCCTTCAAGTGTGTCTTCCGATAGCATTGTTGTTTTTCAGTAATTTGCCTTTAAATTTGCATATAAATACGGCTCCTCCCTGACCCACCCATCATTTTTTAAAAGCACAGTATGCTGTAATTTTGTACGACGGTGACATCAAGATTAGGAAAACTCGGTGTGCGGCAAACCGGGTTTCGGCAAACCCGGTTCCGGCAAACTGAGTTTCGGTGAACTGGATTCAACAAACTGGATTTCGGCAAAGTGGACATGGACTCGGAAAACTGGGTTACTGTGTCGGATAGCTAAGACACTTTATGGTGTTTATGACACTAGCATTGTTGCAACAGTTCATTTTGATCTAAAGACTGCGACAACAGCGGTGGCTCCAGGGGCCTCGGTCAGGGTCCCAGAATCCCTGGAGTTTTTATGGCATAGTATGGTCCCAAGTTGTGCTTCAAGACCACAATACTAGGGATTGGCAATAAAAATAACGTTATTTCGGTAGCCAAATTATTATTTTTTGTTCGATGACCTCGTCAGTGACGTTGGACGACGAGGAGTGGGAGGGGTAGGAAAATTCCCCTTCTCCCCGCTGGCACTAAACTGTACGACAAGTAATACTTATACAAAATTTTGTACGCATAAACTATGAAATGTTAATGAGCTCATTCCTTACAAGGTAAAGGACAATAGTCAGACTGCCAAGTTCTATGCTACAAAGATCTACAAGAGGCAGTGTGTAGGATAATGGACCTTTCCGCTAAGCTCCGCCCCTTGGATATTGTTGCTAAGGTCCCACAAGTCAGCAGTGTTAAAACATACGCGAACACGTGCGTTTGTGGGACAACACGTGTGTTTGTAAGACACGCGCGTATTCCTAGCGCTGTTCTGATTAGTCAGTTGTTAAGTTTGATTAACACTCCGGAAAGGTCTATTACCGCACGGCCAACTGGATTACAAACGGATGAATTGCTCCACGGAGCTAGCAATGGGAATAAGCGCATGTAGTTCCACACGACATTACGCAATAGCCGCACTAAGTACGATGGGATCTCAACAAGAAGAAAACGCACAGCAAACGAAGCCGTAACCGCTAATGGAAATCTAGCTGCATTTCTTGCGTTTGCGTCAAACGTGTCTAAATTTCTGAAGTATGAACTAAATTTAATTGAATGAAAATGTTGAAAACACACTGTACCATGCTCTACACATACACACCGCCTTACATAGGCCTAGCTAAAGTATTTTGACATTTACATATGATCCTTTAACATTTGTTGTGTACTAAATTTACTATACACTCTATCAGAAGCACGCAGCAAGTATATAAATGTTTACCTTGAGTAATGCAAAAGTCGTGATCTCCAGTTTCTTGATAGCAGTCTAAAAAAACACGAACAAAAAACATTAACTCAATGTGTACAGCATTGAGCCGATTATGAATAAAATACCATCCTACATAAACATTGTAAACAACTTTAATGGGATTAGTAAATTTTGCAAATTCAATCGACCTTTTCGCCATGCCAATAAAAAAAAACAAAAACAAAAACAAAAACAAAACAAAACAAAACAAAAAAAAAAGCATTCAGTACATGTTTCCCCACAAACGCAGATGTTGGTGCAGGGCTTAGATCCATTGCCATCAGTGCTTTGTATTATTTGTTACGAGATTTGATAGCCTAAATTAATTCGAGCTCGCGCGCGCAAATTCATTTTGTAATTATCTTGCATATTATACACAATGACCAACAAGAGGTTTGACTATGAAAACGACAATTTAATAAATTCATAATATGGCACGACTTACCGGCACCATTGAAATCGTAAGGTATCCCAGTCAATACAGTTTTTTGGTTTAGTTTTTTGCTGGCAAGATGAAACTGCAAGAGGGGATAATATGATTAACAGCCATGTCTGATCCGATGAAATACAGCATTACACGACTTTCAACAGACTAAGGATTGATTTAATGACTGGTGTCGGATACTTGTACACTGTGATGGGGAAAGGAGAGGCGATAGGAAAGTTTGGGGGATAGCAATAGCTCAGGGATGAGGTGATTTCATCTAGTTAAGTGTACTTGAATTTAATAAGTTATTAGTGGCTCAAAGAAGGCCCCTGGGGCAAAAAAAAAGTTTTCTGGACAACCACCCTCCCCCTTGAATGCGCCACTAAGTCAGACAGATAAAAATGTGCGCTCGACTTCAGTCTTTTTTTCTCTTTCGTGGAGTTACCACACATTTATTTCGTCATTTAACTCCATACATATTTTTCTGAGAACAATGCCAAAACATTAAATTAATAATTAATGTAATCACATGTATAATATAACAATATGATATATAAATTAGTTTAGTTTAGTTTAATAATTTTTTTTTGCAAAAATGTATACATAAAAACAGATTATCACATTCTTATAATCAAAATAAACAATAACCAGTCTAATAGGCTTTGCCAAAAAAACCCCAAATTATACAGTACACCTTTCCTTATAACAAATCTACTTCGATACAAAATTGACGGATAACCTAATGCCAGGCCAATCTTTATTCAATCCTTCAATATGCAGTCCATGACTAACGGACTGATGTATGTTTTATCTAAAATTTCCTTGCTGAAATCATACACGATTAAAAGTAATAAAAAACGACAAATTAGGTACTTACTTCTATATGATATTCGTAATTGAACTTAATTTCTATCCCCATCTCAGTTTCATTCTAAAATGTGTTAAAATGTGTTTTATATAAGGATAGATGAATGGATGAGTTTATGCTAATAACAATTACATTATACATTTAATGTTGTTACTAATAAAGTAATAGTTTGAAAATAAAATTCTCTTAGTAGCAATGATAACAACAACAACAATAATAATAATAATAATAATAATAATAATAATAATAAAAATTACAATAGAATAGCAATTACAATTATATTAATGCGATAGTGAACGCAATATTGAACTAAGTGTTGCAGAGATTGACCGCCATCTGAAACTTAATTACAACGACAATCATAATTATGATTATATTAATAATCACTGACCACCGCATGCGAAAACTATTATCACGTCCATTTAGCTCATCATCATCATCATCATCCTCATCATCATCACCTTCATCATCATCATCATCATCATCATCATCGTCATCATCATCATCATCATCATCATCATCATTTATCCATTATCGGCCATCTGCAGACAGTGGCCTCCCTAAGCTGAAAGCTTTTAGGCCTACTCCCGTGCAGCTTTCATCCAATCCACGTCAAATATTAATATTTCCATTTTGTTTTTTTTGTTTTCCACTACTTTCGATTTGTCCATTTCCTTGGAGTTGATTTTACATATGTTTGTCCATTTGCGTGGGTTTTGATAATACTTAATTCAATAATTCAATGAACGAATTATATACCGTATTTGTTAGAATAGACGCCTGCTTTAAATAAACACCTCCATCGAATAAACGCCTTCCTCAAACGCCCCCTACATGACTGTAAACAAATCTTATGGAAGCAACATCATTCTCAACATAACCTATTTTATGTACTAATCCACTAGAATTACATTTTTTATGATCACAAAATAACACATTTGGCTGAAATTATGTGTTTATATCATTGAAATTAAGGGGAGATTATTTGGGTTTATACGTATCAATCTTACACGCAAAAAGTAATCTCCTCCCTCTAATACACGGTTTCCCTCCACCCCTCAAAAACCACCATTCTCAACAATAAACGCCCCTGGGTGTTTATTCGAATAAATACGATGGTAGTGACGAATGTGAATAATTTACCGTGTAATACAGGCCTCCATTTTCATCAAGATCACATGAATAACTTTTGTTTATCCCTTCGCCACGAACCTCAATACTCACCGCATAACCGTCAAAGTCTGAGAACAAAAAAAACAAAAAAAAATAACAACAGGCAGGTGTTAGGGGATACGCCATGGAATAAATGCGCATGCTCAGTAGATAAATTTCCTTGCAGAATTAAAACCAGGTTATAAAGTAGTCACGAGGTTTAATCAATATCTGTGACAGAAATGATAATTAAATACAATTTCCTTCTAGCGATACACGCAATACTCGTCAAACGCTTGAATGGTACTCCAGAAGATGAATACTTCCGTAAAGTTAACAAATCGGCTTACGTAATCAATAGAGAATCATTATTGATCGACAGGCGCCTTTATTCTTGCCGAATGGAGTTACATGGCAGCTGCTCATTATCTACAATATAAGCCTACTTTTCTGATTTTAGAACATTTAATGATACAAACAAACCTTGAAAGTGTATTAACATTGACCAATTTGAAGTTTATTGAGTATTTCAAAGCAATGTCGAACATTTTAAATCTTGGCATTTCAAACGATTTGGAAAACAGGCTAATATTTTTAGTTAAATTTTCTTTATATCAAAATAGAAATCAAAATAAGAAGGTTTTAAACACTAGTTTATGTAATAGGTACATGGGCCAATGGTTACCAATAGCGATTGTGTCTTACATAAGCGGCAATTCAATATCACAAATGTGTACACATGACATGACGAGGCGTTTCCCCTCCAGTTCAATGCATTTCTCCCATTTCCTCTGAATCAATTAATTACAACACACTATTTTCTGTATAAATCAATAGGGGCCTTACATTATCAAAATTCCCCATTGGGCTATTATCTTTAAACTTTCCTTACCAAACATTTCATATGTCCTTACCCCCACCGACTCTGGCGCATATAAACGAATGTCAAATAAATTGGTCAGTAAACGGGGACAGGTGTAGCAGGTAATAAAGATAAGTAAATTAACCCGTAACTATAAAGCGTCAGCATTGGGCTCAATTTGTGGTGCGGTGTGGCCCGTGGCTACATTACTGTAGCAGCCGTAGACAGGGTTGGCACATTAAGGGCCGGATGAGGGTGCAGGCCTCCGTCGAAGAGCTGATCCCCGTGTCCGAGAGCTAAAATATTCTATGAAATTGCTTATGAAAGTTTGTGGAGTCTAATATTCAATTTCCAAGTTCCTAAATTGTTGGAAATTTCTAGGCTTCACCCGACCCCCTGCACCCCTGAAATTCGGTTTTTTCAAGCCTCTGGCTTCCCGTAAGCAACCCCACTTGCGTTGTATTTTCAACATCATTGTAAACTGCTAATAAAATTAAATAAATGAAATGGTTATTCCCAGGCCACGCCAACTACTTACGCTCCCATATCAAACCCCCACCGCCACCCCATCGGACAAATTCTGTGGTCATTCCAGGCCGTAGAGAGGCACTTAGACACCATGGTCTCATCATTCCACAACGACAGGGGTTAAGTTGAAATGAACAAGCATATCGGTGGGGTGGAGGATAATCCTTACACTTCCGAAAAATGTAGAGGGTTATTTAAAGTGCACACGAGACATGTGTACACCGGATATCCGTATCTGAAAGGCCGAGACTTGGTTCTATCAACCGAATCCTGGGTGAGGACGTTCCCTATCGCCGATTTTGTAGTTAGCAACTCTTTTTCGAATAATGCACTGTAGGCCCTACAGAGTTATTTCTTATACGAAAGAAATATGACCAATGGTTTAAACGTCCCATCAAAATGGCGATGTTATTAAAGTACAGATCGGAATTATCATGTTTTGAACTAGTGAAAACCATCTACAAAAAGCCGTGTTAACTAAAATTAAGACAAACGATTCAGAAGAAAGCAAGAAGCTACAAGGTGTATATATACAAACTTTGACGCAAAACTGCGTTTGCGATAGGTCCCTTGAGTTTGCGTTAATATAAGTGTGAACCAAGATTTAGTACAGCAAACTTTAACCCTTTATTGTTTCGCGTAAATTGCTGTGTATTAGAATGATTTGTGTTCACACTGGCACTCCGTCCACATTTACACTATTTTCACAACTACGATTTTTACCGCTAATCTTTTAAAGATGTGTATAAACGCGTTACGTTTATGAATATTTTCTTACCTATTAAAGTTAAATTCGGTTTAGGCCTACTCCAACTCAGATGAAGATGCAGAGAATATTTAGCATCATCATCATCCAATGGGACCGTTGAATGGGAAACCTCGACTTCCTCGGGACTCCAGACTGTAGCTATTAATAAATTAATGAAATTGCAATAATACGGTAGTAATAGTAATTTTAATATTTTAATCATAATACACATTATATTAGCAATAGTGACAATACAATTGCACCATCGAACCCGACTCAGTCAAGGACTGTATATTTCCAGTCTACTTGGCGTAATTGTTAATACATTTCACAGAAATTTTGTGTTTAACATAGCTGTAGCTAGTTTCAAACACTTTAAAACACACAAATTCCGTTACATAAAAGTTTAATTACCCGTTTATTAATATTTAAATATGTAGAATGACATCATATATTAATACGCCTATCTTTGATTTACGGTATTTGCTTGGGCATAGAAGATCCAAGCACAGAAAGTGTCCAATGTGCCGGACAGAAAAATCCTGTGCAAAAACGAGAAATCGGGATAGAAGAAGAAAAAAAAATAAGAAAAAACAATTACTTTTTCATGGAAAGCCAACAATGGCACTCTTAACAAGAAAAAGTACAGTTCATCCTTCAACTCGAGACCACTTCTGGGACCTGAACATTTTGGGTGGTTTCTGGGTTTGGTTTCCAGTTAGAAACTTTTAAATGGAGACCACAGCTAAAACTGGTCTCTAGACAGTATAAGGGTAATTGAAGCTAATATAGTCTAAATGAAGACAGTGGTGTCCAAATTTAGCATAACTGGAGGGTGATGAAATATTTTCTTAAAAGACCAAAGTACGAGTGGTCTCCGAACTCAAACTATATTTTCCTCAAATGATGAACTGAATATTTATTTTCTTTAATTCGATTCTGTGTTCTGAATTAAATATGAAGAAAGCCATAAATCCCGGGGATTAAAAAGCAGTGGCTATATATTATCTGGCTGCAATATAGCATTGAGAAAACTTATTCTTCCATGAATATACCAAATTTATTTTTAGGTTTCTTAAAAAGGCCATCAAATGAAAATAGGCTTAATGTACTAATGGCCAACAGTGCAAGCCATTGGATGACTCTTAGTAGTAAAAAATAAAATAAAATCAATTTTATTTATTTTGTGACTGTTTTCTACAAACAAATATCATACTGAATAAATTAAGGCTTATGAACGAACGTTAGTCATATTTTGGTTCCAAGGTAGCTTATGTCTAGTCTAGGTATGTACCTAGCCTATATGCACTTCATTTAGCAGAGAATATGTCAACTGTTAAATTCTAATTTTAACTCAAAGGAACAACTTTGGATGTGTGCCAAAATCTATCCGTAGCAAAAAGTCCGAATAATCAGTACCTTTATATATTTATATAATTAGTACAATTCACCCTCCAATTCGAGACCCCTCTAATTCTGACACCCCCTTTAATTCGAGACTAGTTATTTTTTTAAGTATCAATTGATCCCCTATTTCTTAACACTAAGCTCGCACTCTAATTCTCAGACCCCTCTAATTCGAGTCCGTGACCACCTTTTTTAACTTCCCAAGAAAAAAATGACCTCTAATGGGCCTACAAGACAAGTCCTAAACAACAAAAGCACCGTTAATTACCCCAATGAGTATTCAAAACGAATATTATGTGATATTCAACAATGACATTGTTTCCATACCGTAGTTTTTAACTTCAAAATTTTGAAATCCGTGAGATTTTTGGATGAGTCCATCAAAAGGAAGAAGCCCCATAGCTTGCGCATTCTGTCTGTTTTTAGAACTTTTATTTGAGAGGGACATAGTATGCATATATTATTATATGCTACATTAGCCTAAATTTATCCAATATCATTTTTTGTTTTAGACAACATTTACACAAAAATAAATAAATCTTTAATGACCGAACAAGCCACTGATTTTATTGGCGAATTCTGCAGTTTTTAAAATTTAACCACAATGAGACATTCTCTATTCCCTACTGCAATGTGGCCGGATGTATGAGAATTACAATGCTGGCACAAAGCATTTATCTTATCGATTTCGTATGGTGTCGAAATACCTTGATCTTTTTTAATGGCTTACACGTTTGCCCATTCAAATATAGCTTTATTTTCAAGGTACTGTACTATACATCGTTTACACTTTACTTGAAACCCCAGTGTTTTGTTTGTTTTGGTTTTTTTTTTTTGGTTTAAAATACAATGTTAAAACAACTTTTGTAGAATTTGTTGGCCCGGCAGATGAAGTTACAATAGCTATATAGGGAAATGCTAAGTGACTGCATTTTAGTACTAGTGATGAATACAATATTGTTGTAAAATTTGAACTTCAACTACGATGCTGGTAAAATAATCTGTCCATGGAGAATTCTGCCGGTAATAAACTTAAGAATTGACTAAATTAATTAGGTAAACGGCAATTCTAAGTGACAGCAAACACATGAAACTTTATTAAAAACTACGCTTTTTGTATTTTTTATAAGAAACAGATTTTGCCCAGGCTCAGTGGTTTTTTTTCCTGCAAATTTCAGGCTCAATCTGTTCTTATTTTGTTCTTATTTTTACACACATTTTTCAAACATAGAAAGTATTTTTTACAGTAGTATATTACTGTACTGTATTACAGAGAGAATTACATAGTCACACCATCTATTTTCTCTATGGTCACAGCTACTGCAAATAAGGTCAGATACCGGTAAGATTTGTTGTTTTTTTTTCTATTTAAAAGTAAAATAAAACCTCATTTGATATTTTACCTCAGCCTCAATTTGTTCTTATTTTGTCCTAATTTGTAAGCAATTTCAGCCGCTTATAAAATGTGTCCTTATGAATAAAAACATATGTAGTGATAGTATAACACAAGTTATTAATGCGTGAGGCTGAATTCGACAAGTGTAATTAGACAGTCGTTCATACCGTATTTCAAAAGATAATGCAGCACTTTGTACCCTGTGTATTCATAACACATGTTACATTTAATTGCATACTTTTTTTATATTTCACAATATCCGTGTAAATGTATAGTTCATTGCTGTTCATATTGTATTTTATATTAATTTAATTCGTGTTCTTTTTTTTTTTCATTTAAGCATCTTGTACTTATGTATTTATTCATGGAGGGATAAGCATCTCAATTCGTCTAGTTATGGCGCTGATAAGAAATTTTGAACAATTTCTTTTTCCATTTTCGCAATTTATTGTATTCACATGATTTAAAATACTCCAGTCATTATTTTAAGTCAAGGTACTAACTTCTGTGTCCAGTTATGGCATTTTAAACCAGGGTGCTTTCCTGGGCTCACTATATAGAATTTAGGAGGGCCTAACCCTCTTCTGTGAATATAGGCCTAATTGAAGTCATACCGGTAAGAATAGGATGTCCTCTAAGGACTATTACGGGAGGGGCCCTCATGAGCATCACCCAGCGACTAAGTCAGTCATGGGGAGGTGATTGGCCTGTTGTGAATCTTTTCTAATGACAACACACGAAAGCATGTGTTTTATGCACATAAGCAAAGTTTAATGGTTTTCTGGTTAAGGTTCTTGCCTTCCAGTCCCAGGGTTTTGGTTCAAATTCTGTCCAGGATTCCAGAATTTGTTCTCACGGAGAAAAACAACTACACGCCGTAAGAATGGGAAGGACTCAAAAATAATGGAATAGTGTCCTGTGGGAACAGATAGCTTTACTATAGATTAATTTAGTAAACGTATGTGGCTATAGTACCGTAATCAATATTCCTGCCGCGAAAACTTGACTCGCTCCGAAATACCAGGATGGTGTCTGGTGGGAGATAGTACAATGGATTACTTCATTTAAAAAAAATGGATTACTAATCTATCAAATATTTACTTACTTTTCCACTTAATGTCTGTACATTGTGACTGGACTTGACTCAAGAGTATAAATATTATCCACAACAGGTTATCTATCTTTTGGAAACCCATTATCCGGTAGAACTTAAAAATACAAAAATATGACTGATTACGGTAAGAGTAATTTTACACCGATTTTAAAATAATCGGAGATGTTCGTTTGGCTAGCGTTCGGAATATGGCTGGTAAGATGTACCCATACTATAATCATGAACCGGTATCGATGAGTATATACAAGCCTATACCATGAGGCAATCTAGTATTAACTTTAACGGGTTTAAAACTAACAAGGAAAGTATCTCTTTAGGCCCTATACTCTTTTAATATTTATTATTATTATTAATATTATTATTATTATTTTATTATTATTATTATTATTATTATTATTATTATTATTATTATTATTATTATTATCACCATTATTATTATCATCATCATCATCATCATCATTAATATTAATATTATTACTATTATATTATTATATTATTATTATTATTATTTATTATTATTGTTATTATTATTATATATTTTAATTAAATTCAACAATATAAATTGTGGAATATGCCTAAATATAAACATATGTACTATAAAAAAGAAACTCAACGTTTCTGTGTAGCTAAGCTGGGAAACAAATACCAATTTCATTAAATTAAAATACCCACATTTAGTTGCAGTACCAAATAAACTGACGCGTTATTATGTTTTTATGAGAACAGATTATAGCTATAAAAAAAAATCCATACAAGATTAAGAAAGTTACCTTGTCGTTAGCTCCCATCGATCAATAAAGCAGGTTATATCTCCATGGTAGAATTTAGTATGATTGTAAATTATATCCACAGATCGTCCGAGTAGGCCTAATGCGTACGTCACTCGCATCCGGATGTCCTCAAGAGAGAGAGAGGTGCTCACAAACTGAAGTGATCGACAGACTGCGTACTTTGCACACGGATTAATCTCTCGGTGAAAAAGAATTTCCGCGCCGAATTAGTGACAGAAAGCGACATCATAATGGGAGCTGTGTGGTCAATGAATACATTTCTACTTATCGGACTTTGCGCATTGATATAAAAGCGAGCAATTCTGTCCATAAAGCTGTTGTGTGTCTGGTTATTTTACTTCATCCTTTCGTAGTGAAAATCTCTTTATGACACTGATATATGAAGAGTTTAAATTGAGTAAACCATGGATATATTATGTAAACCCTTTGGGGTATAATATATGACAGATTTTAGCGTAATGACGCACGATTTACGAATATCGTTACAGTGTACACAATGACGTAGAAGGGGATGATTGGACGTGACATGGGAGAACCAACTGTAATATTATTACAATTAATGATTATTATATAGTCCTAGGCCTAATGCTTGTTTTCCATTCTTATGGACCCCCTGCGTTAAATTCCCATGGCACCAGTATTTTTTTCTCAAGTCTAGAAAAAAAAAATATAGGCCTAACTGCACTATCTTAAAAAATGTAAACAAGGTACCGGTACCGTATATTTCAGTGAGATTAAGAACTCCATGAACGAGACAGAGCAAAACATTCCGGGGGTTGGTGACAGCCCGTCGGACAGGTCTGGACCCCCTATCATCCAAAGCCATGACAAGGTCGTCGGATAAAATATAAAATAATAATAACAATAATTTGCCTATCCAAATAACGTTATTTAGATTGCCAATCCCTAATATTGTGGTCTAAAAGCACAATTTGGATCATAAGGCCATAAAAACTCTCCCGTGAACCCTACCAGAGATATTTTATTTCAGAACCCGGACTGAGGCTCTAGTCGGCCCCTTGATTTGGAAACCCCCTCCCCCCACGTCGGACATTTTGGACTCCTTGTCGGCAAATTTCTTGAGCCACCGCTGGTTGGTAAGCTGGAATGGTCTTCCTCTATGATAAAGACAAGACATTTTTTTTAATGAGCCTGATCTACAAAAGGCCTAGCCATCACATGACCCAACTACACCACCATGGATTTGAAAGTTTGGACAACCAATGCTGTGCTGTAGACTAGACATCCATGTGGCTTGCGGTTTACGATGTCGTGGGATTCGAAAGGGGTAATAACGAGTGTTCATATTGTAGGCATATTATTATTATGAAGTCACTCGATTTCCACCTGAAATGAAAACGAGAGGACAATGCATTGTCTCTGATTATTTGCGTCTATTAAAATCTTGAACTTACACTACAAACGTTCGATTTAATTGACTTTGTCCTTCAGATTTCAGATTTCTTTTATTCTTCCACAAATAACATAAAATATACAATATACAATGTATGTGGAGGAGGCTATAATAAAATCATGTGCTGCGCAAAGCAACGATCTTTAGGCTATAATAGCCCCCTTAACAAAAAGCAAAAACAAAACCAAATAATAATAATAATAATAATAATAATTTTGCAGTATTTAAAAAAGTCAAATATTATTATTAAATTATGTGAGTCTATACATGTACCGGTACAAAATTACGATCATTAAAAAAGAAGGAAGAACCTAAAGGCATACGCATTTAGCCTTTGGGTGTGTTAATATCACACACGGTTTAACATGAATGCATATTGAATCTCTTGTAGCAAAAGCTAATAGATCACTTGGTTTCATAAGGAGGAACCTACATTCTTGTCCAGCTAACATCAAAGATCTGGCCTATAAATCACTCGTCAGGCATATCTTAGAATACAGTTTTTTCGGCGTGGGACCCTTATACAAAAAATTAACACATTTATTAGAGTTGGTACAAAACAGGGTCGCATGTTTTGTCACTGGTATTTACGATAGGAAAGACAGCGTAACAGCCAATAAAAAACAGTTAAAATGAGTTCGCCGCAAAATGAATCGGCTAGTTAACTTTAACCAAGCAATACAGGGTCACCTTTCCGTGCCAGCGCAATTGATTCTACGACCGGTCCAGCGGAACTCAACTGCAATGTGCAACTACATACCGATTATCGTAAACAAGAACTGCTATAAATTTTCATTCCTACCCCGGACGACCGAAGACTGGAACTCATTACCCTATAAAATCACCTGTTTACAAAATAAAGAGCTGTTCAAATCAGCCATCCATAATAACTTTAGTGTTCTAGAAGAAGCATAGTTTTAACTATCAGAGCCACTACCACATCCTACCCATGTGAACCCTACTTGGGTAGTATTTAGACAAGACAAAAAGTAACATGTGTTTAAAACACATGCTTTCGTGCATTGTTATTTTAAAAGGATCACAGTTAGCAGGCCGATCACTTCCCATGGCTGACTTGGTAGCAGGGGGATGATCATGAGGGCCCCTCCCGTAAGAGTAAGATTTACAGGGCATCCTATTCTTACAGGTATGATTTAAATATATGTGACCCTATATTCACAAGAGATATAGGGTTCGGGCCATTCTAATTCTGTATAGAGTGGGCCCAGAAAAGCATCCATGTTCAAGACGATATAACTGGGCACAGAAGTTAGTACCATGACTCAAAATAATAACCACAGTACTTTAAATCATGTGAATAATACAATACATTGCGAAAATGACAAAATAAATAAAATGTCTTATTAATGCCATAACTAGATGAATTGAGATGCTTAATCCTCCATGAATAAATAAACACAGTGCAAGAAATTAAAAAACACGAATGAAATTAATATAAAATACAATATGAATAACAATGAACTATACATTACACGGATATTGTGACATTTAAAAAAATGTGATATGTAATTAAATAAAACATTGATATGTAATTAAATAAAACATATGTTATACATACACAGAGGAGGTCTACAATGTGCTAATAGTGGTGGTGCAAGATCAGGGGGCATGTGCCACCCCCACCCCCTACGTCGGACAGGCCTGGACCCCTGTCTACAAGGGAGTTTTTATTCTCAGTTGTCAACCGAGGCATCCTAGGCCGATTTATTCGGACCCCTCCGGTCGGACATGTCGCACCCCTTGTCGGCAAATTTCTGGCGCCATCGCTGTGTGCCATGTATTATCTTTTGAAATACGGGGTAGAGTTTGGAATGAAAGACTGTCTACTACAGTTGTCACAGGGGGTCGCAGGGGGATGATCATGAGGGCCCCTCCCGTAAGAATAGGATTTACAGGGCATCCTATTCTTACAGGTATGATTTAAATATATGTGACCCTATATTCACAGGAGAGAGTGAGCCCAGAAAAGCATCCATGTTCAACATAATATAACTGGACACAGAAGTTAGTACCATGACTCAAAATAATAACCACAGTATTTCAAATCATGTGAATAATACAATACATTGCGAAAATGAAAAAAATAAAATGTCTTATCAATGCCAACTAGATGAATTGAGATGCTTAATCCTCCATGAATAAATAAACACAGTGCAAGAAATTAAAAAACACGAATGAAATTAATATAAAATACAATATGAATAACAATGAACTATACATTACACGAATATTGTGAAATAAAAAAAAATGTGATATGTAATTAAATAAAACATATGTTATAAATACACAGAGGAGGCCTACAATGTGCTATATCAGTGGTGGCGCAAGCGCAGGGGCATGTGCTCCCCTACGTTGGAGAGGCCGGGACCCTCTGTCTACAAGGGAGTTTGTATTCTCAGCTGTCAACCGAGGCATCGTAGGCCGATTTGCTCGGACCCCTCCGGTCGGATTGTCGGACCCCTTGTCGGCAAATTTCTGGCGCCACCGCTGTGTGCCATGTATTATCTTTTGAAATACGGGGTAGAGTTTGGAATTAAAAAAAAAACTGTCTACTACACTATTCAAATTCGGCCTCAGGCATTAATAACTTGTGTCATATACAATCAATTTTTTTAAAAGTAAAATAAAAGTCTTTGCCGATTACCTTATAAGCAGTTTTAATTATTTAGTCAATTCTGAAAGTTTATTAAAGACAGAATTCTCCATGGACAGATCTACCAGATGGTAAAGGTATAGCTAATAGAGCACTAAGAATCAGGGGGTGGGGGCGATCCAGCTATTTGTGAATGGCTGTTTGGCGCACTGTTAAAATGAGGTTTCATTTATACAGAGGTCCAGAGGTCCAATGTTTCTTTATCTAGAAGGCCATAAAAAATATGAAATAATGATGATGATGATGATGATAATGATGATATGATAGTGATGAAGATGAGCTTGATGTTATAATGATGATGATGATGACAGGGTGTAGCCACGGTATTTACAGTACCAGACTAAAGTAAAGGAGTCCAAGCTGGAATCAATAACTCGCATGGAGTCTCTTGTCAGGGCACAGGGCAATTCCAGACATAAAATTTGAATATCATTTTCTTTACATCTCCATTTTTTAAAAGAATTTGTTGGTCTGTTTGTGTGGCATAAGATTGTTTAATTGATTATTTGTAACCATTTGAAATTAAATTATATTGTAGACATACAGTACGGTATTTTATAAAGCCTAGTATCAAATGAGATTTTATATATATACATTTATTTATGATCTAGTCCTATACATTTTTTATCTATATTATTTCATTTTTATTGGGGCGGAGACCCTGACTTTTAGGCCCCGGAACCATATGAACCGCTGGCATTTACGCCACTGTCCCTAAAGGCGCATTAGCTTATTCCTATTAAAGAGGCTCAATCTGTAAGCCTGCTTTAAGGAGGTCCACAGCGTAAATCCTTCGAAAAAGAAGTAGGCCTGATTCTATGAAATGCAGTAGTATAACGTTATTCGTTGATCATTGAAAGTTCACTACCAATGCAAGATAAACGATAAACTACTTATTATTATCGTGTCGAACTGAGTGGAGGGGGAAAAACACTGTTGATGACAAAAGACGATGACGCATTCCAACGTCACGTCGATGAATTCTGCAGATCACAAACTCAACGTCAAAATTTATCTACGTGTAGGATGTTCCAAAGGTATGTTTCATGATCTACATTCATATACAAATTCAACAATTTGATATTCATGAATGCGTAATGCTAATAGCATATTGAAGGCCGTAATAACATTAAGCAACGATTTAAAAGGCAATTTTGTTTGACATATGAGCAGGGAGGGTCATTCCAAGGTACTTTTGAAATAAACGAGAGTTTTTATTATTGACCTATGAACCTGTAACATTTTGAGTTTCACATTTGTCTACTTC